GGTTTCATTGTTTGAATATGATGTTCTAACTATGTTTACAATGTAACCCAAATATAACTTTTTGTTATAAACATTAGATTGCAGTTGCAGGTATGTTAGAAATTAACAGATTTAAAACGTTGATGATTAGGTTGCAAACACCGGACATTAGCAGTATCAGGGACATCACATTAACGCAAATTCAACATTCAAATTAATGTTGCATATTATATGGAAACATACCTTGTATGTTTATAGTACACATTATTGCACAAGGGGTGGTTTCTCCGCGCGCTGAGCATGCAAGATAATTGACTATCGATATATAGCTGTTACACTTTTTGTTAGTTGTTAAAAAATATTATTAAGCATCATTATTTTACTGCCAAAGGAGTAGACAGTTTGTAAGTTTAGAGTGGCTGAAAATGCTTAAACTCTTGGAGGGGCTAGTATACTACACAACTTACTTATAAGTTGAGTGGTTAAATCAAACTTAAACATAATGCAAATTATAGATCCTCCTTTTTGTAAAAATCAACATTACTATTATAGAAAAACATTAAGCTAACTTAAAACAATATTTATTTTTATAACCCATCATCTGGTAATTCACTGCAAAAGCGTTGATATTTTCAACACGGCACACCATTCGTGCGAGAAAGACACAGTTATAGCCTTTACACAGCCATGCTTTCCTACATTTTTAACCAGGTAAAAATGGGTACCTGAAGTGTTCGTTGATTCGCTGCCACACTCTTGGCCGCGCGATAAAAGTGTTCGTCCAAAGTGCTCTACTGTTGCGGTAAGCGACCATTTGCGGTGTCGGCTTGCGGAAAGGGCGTTAAGCTTCACCACGCGAAACGAAACCGACCGGACAGTGCAGGCTAGGTGCGTGTAGGCTTGATAAAAACAGGACTGGATCTCGCACGGGAATCGCGTGACAGTCGAGCAGATGTTGACACGGATCGAGAAGAACTCTTTCCGCGGGTCTCTGCGGTCCCGTCCGACGAAGTTTCGACCGCTCTCGAAGTACGTGCACGTGTGCGTACATCAATAATGCGCGCGTCGTTAATATTGACGCTGTTGGGAATCGGCACCCCAACCCCAACGGTAATAAAAACGTCTTATGACCGCACGCGCCCCTTCCGACAACAACCCCCAGCAATCCGCGTACGTATACGTAGTGATTCGAACGACAACGTTTCATATTTTCACTCCGTCCTTTCAGACCGCCCGATGTGATATTTCCTCGTTTTCGGCGCACGGCCATTGTAAACGATCGAAATGTATTATTTTGGTCTCGACATAACACGCACGGTGTGTTTGAAATCGTTACGCGACACACGATTTTTGACACGATCACTTTAACATAAATTACTTACATCTCGTATATTTGCGATTCAACATCAGCTGCAAGAGGGACAGAAATAAATATTACGAAATACACCGCATGCACCGCTGTTGATTTCTACCCGACCGTTGAGATTTTATTGTGTTTCGACTCGGTGGTAGCGAAGTAATAAACGTGTCGCGTGTTCGTGCCAAATGTCTTTCGACGACATTAATAACCGTGATCCTAGACTCTCAGCCTCCATCGTCTTTGACCGATTAATAATTTTAAGGCGCATTTAGCGTAGTGTCAAGGTTAGATAGATGATTAAAATCGTATTTAGACACAGGAATATAGATAGAACGTACTATTTATCTAAATTAAAAATTACAGGTAAACAATTGCGTACCGCGTGCAAACGAGTATCACCGGCAAAATATATACCCCGTGACAATCGACGTTTGGACCGTTGATCTTTCGCCGCGAACAAACACGAACCGAAAACGCAGTAGCTGTAAACCCATTCCTCATTTGCACGCTCCTCCTGCCGCTCCTGCCACTCCTGTTTGTGCTACCGTCGCGCACGCCACCGGCAGTCCGTCAAGGATCCGCGCGTCACGTCCGGTCGCACGACAGCCCGTCACACACGCGTAATCTATGCGCGCTGCCGAACAGGACGCGCGACGTGTGTGACCACGATGGCGGCCGACCGGAATATCAAAACGTTACGTGCGGCAGCGACGGCACAGGTTAAGGATCCGAAAAAGGATTGCGCCGCAGGTCTGGTCGGACTACCGCACGCGTATAACAATAACATACACCTCCTGTACGCGTTATAGAACGTTACGTTATCGGTGTTCGTCCGCAGTCCTACACGACGAACGTTCCGCTCCTGAAAACCGGCCACAGACCTCCAACAGCCCACCGGTTACACCGCTCGTGACATCGGTCGTAAATCGGATTCGAGTTTTTTTTTCTATTACGCTTTTCGCTTTTTCTTCTCGTTCCCCACATCACACGACGACGGCTTACGTATTGCATCGGTGCTGCGCACGCGCGTACCCGATTGATTTATCGTCACGCCGGTAACGGCGGCCGTTTCGCGACATAAAAACAACACCGACAATAGTAAAAATAATAATGATGACGATGACGATAGTGATACTACAACGGTAATTTATTACTATCGCACCGTCGTCATTATTATTGCATATTTACCGACACGTCCCCTCTCCCTCCTCCCGGTCAACCCCCAGACGAAAGTGGTTCAGCAGCCGGTCGGAGATCATTTTTGTTTTTTTTTTCAGGTACGATGATGTGCGCCTACGCCACTACGGAGGAGAAAACGATTTTTTTCGCGTTTGAAGCCCACGGTGACTTCGGAGACTTCAGGGCCAGTCCGCGTATTGGGTAGTGTCCGTTGAGCACACATGGGCGTTCCGAGACTTCTTCATTTGGGGGAGCTATGGGTATAGAAAACCACCGATCTCGTAAAAAGTACAGTGTCCACGACTGATAAATGATCACCGACCAGTGATATACGTATCCATACGTGTTTGTTGCACACCCGACGTCTACATGAATAGTTTATAATAGTAACACCAGTGTTGGATAGTAACGTAACGGAATACACGGTATACACCCCCTATTGATCCGTTCAGAACGCCCCTGTATTCAAAGCACCTCCGAGCTCGCAACCAATGTTATTTTATGACTTTTGCATATTATTACGTCTGAAAATCGACCATGTTGTGTCAATCAACTGCCCACCCTTCAACCGAATTAAAGGGTATAATCGCCTTTCCCCTGCCTCTGCTCCTCTATATTTACGCCTCCGGTAATATGTCGTGAACGTTCGGGAAGTGTTGAGACTTTATCGGCAGAAAAAGCCTCCGTTTGCGCTTCGCACTTTTATTTCATAGTCGACATGTGTGACATCGACTCTCCTGTCCGGTCGGGCAAAAGTTATCAACCCATTGGGAAGCCAATGCCGTCGTCGGCGACCAGGTGTCTTGGATGATCGCTTAGGGCCTCGCACCGGAAGCAAACTCGGGGGGGCACATGATTTGTCGAGTGAGAACGGTCGGGATGTATTAAGCGCGAGTAAATCGTACCGTTTCGACCGAAAGCTAACGTCAGGAACGGCGTTAGGAGGAGGTAAAACGAGGCACTTGTATTTAAAATTTTATTTTTATCTATTTTTGCTTTTAGGAACAGCTCCCCGGCACAAGTTTAGCCTTTTTGGAGAAGTTGCAATATTTATAATTTATACAATAAACAAAATTAGATTCTTGCAAATTAATATAAATTGTTATTATTATTAAATGACTCCCAGATCCAGCGAGTCATTAGGTCGAAAACCGTTCATGGCCGACGGTTTAGCGATCGACAAAATGTGATTCATTTGTTTTACAATCAAAAAACAATATCGATCGAACATTTTATTAATGCAGTGGAAATGCTTTTGTAGTCAAATGGGTTTTTTTGGCCGAAATTAAGAAAATCATTAGATTTTCGATTTCTTGATCTTAAATTTTTGTCGTTGTAATCCGTGTGTAGGGTTTATCATTGCAGATTCTTGCAATGTTTATCATAGGCACCCCTACGTAAGGGGGGCACGGTGGGCACCAGCTTTCCCAATGACGTTCTTGGCCTTTTGGCTTATAATGGTGAAACCACAGGTATATGTATATAATATCTTTATCCGTGACTGAAACAGTTACAGTAGGTACATTTTAGGTAGAAAGTAAATTTAAATTTTAAATATAATTTTAAAAAGTAATAAATTACTTGTTTAACCAAACTGATAAATAACTGTTTATTGTGTAATAACTGTAATAAGATGTGTAGAGAAGGTTGATGTATAGTTTATAAAATATTAATAAAAAATAACTAAATAGTACATGAGTTAATATAAATAGGCCTTATTTATTAGTTCATAGTTGTAATAGCATAGGAAACCAATTTTAAAATCAAAAAAATCTTTAATTTGGCAAGGTGAAAATATTCCAGGTGCTATACAACAAAAATAAGTAACAAATATAGTTATAGATTATAGATCTTAAGTGAAAAATTTGAATTTTATAACTGGCCTCCCCAGCTATGGAGGTCTGGACACGCCTATTGTGTTTATCGACCATTTAATATACGTTGGTTCAAATTGAGTTTTTAGTTCAAATTCGTTGATTTTATTCCTAGCGTTCGTGTACAAAAAAAAAGTAAAGATATGGTACGTGAAACTGGTGTTAGTGATTAGGTACCTCAAAATATATTTATTTTTTTTACCGTAATACATTTCGATCATTAGACCACTAAATTTTCGACCATAATTTCACCCCCATACGCTCGATCACCTCGAACACCTAATGATCGGTGTCGTCGACTAATTGCCAATTCGCAATCATAAAACTATGCTTTTAGAATACCGTAAAGATGGCGAAAAGTGAACGAAATTTTAAATCTTTGCGTCCACTATCTCTCGTCGCACCCCCTCGCAATTGAGCTTTGAGTTGGCAGCACTCTTCAGTTAATTTTATAAACCGATTTTTTATTCTCTTCCATATTTTTATTTTTTCTCCGCACATTAGCGGTGCAATCGAACTGCAGCACATATACTGATCGATTAATCGTGTTTCGGACATTTAATTATTCGGGACCGTAATATTATAATAACGAAAACAACAATGCACGATTATTATATTATTTCTATTATATTCCGTTGAAATCGGTACATATATTTACAATAATATAATATTTTACAATAAATCCATATACATGTCATTACTACACATCATTACCATACGGTTCGAGTAATTTTCATTTCTGACATTAATAATAATATTAAATAATAAAACCAATTAACAAAAAAAGAAAAAAAACAAGGTAACGAAATCGATAACAAAAAAAAAAAAAATAGAAAATAATATAATATATATATATATATATATATATAAATATATTAAGTAAACGTATAGGTAATACGATTTGAAAAGCGTATCTATTTTGTTTTGAATTGAAAAAAAAATTCACAAGACTTAACGCATACGGTAATAGAAAAAGAAGCGACAATAATAATAATAATAATAATAATAATAATACGTAACCGAAAAATACGAAATAAAACAAAACGCCGCTCTAATCATCTATATAACAACTCTCATACGTAAAACTATATCGTCCGGAACGTCACGTAGAAAATCGTAACCGAAAATCAACCGCGGTCGGAGCTACTCGGTTAAGTGTGCGGTGAGGTACCGAGTCGCGGTGCGGCCGCGGCGTACGGCGAGTAAGCGACGGCCGGGAAGTACGGCGGCAACAGGCCGGGGTGCGGTGGCAGCGCCAGCGGGGAGGACGGGGGGTAACCGGACGGGTAGCCGTACGGCGAGTGATGTTTGCCGGCCGCAGCGTACGGATGGTACCGGTTGGCCGCGGATGGGCTGAGCGGCGGGGTGGGGTACGAGCGCTGCAGCAGCGGCAGAGCGGCTGCGGGGTCGGCGGTGTGCGTGCGCAAGTGTTGGAGCAGCTCGTCGGACGTGCCGAACCGCTTGCCGCAGTACGACGGCAGGTCGGCGCCCATCCACGAGCACACGTACGGCAGTTGGGTCGCGGCCGCGGCCAACGCGGCCAGCTGCGCGTGCGCGTACACCGCGGCCATTGTATGATGGTGGTGCTGTTGCTGGTGCTGTTGCTGTTGGTGCTGCTGCTGCTGCTGTTGCTGTTGCTGCTGCTGTTGCTGGTGATGGTGCGCGGTGGCAACACCGTGGTGGTGATTGTGGGTTTGGTGCGCGGCCGTTTTCGGACTAGCGTCGCATTGCGCGCAACCGGACGGACAGGCGGCCGCGGGCGACGGCGGCAGCGGCGTCGGCGGCGGCAACTGCTGCGGTTTGCCGGCGGCCAGATGAGCGGCCAGCTGGCAGCCCGCGCAATATGGATCGCGGCACGGCAACGGCGGCGCGGCCGCGCCCGGTCTGTAGTAGGGGCTCATCAGTGGCGAGGCGGCCAACGCGGCCATGTGGTGATGGTGATGTGGGTGGGTCGGTGCTTGCAGGTGATGGTGATGGAGGTGCGGTGACGGTGGGTACCCGGCCGCGGCCATCAGCGCGGCCACCGATGCGGCTGACGACGAAGAAGACGACGTGGCGGGGTGATGCGATTTGTGCTGTTGTTCAACGCCCGTCGCGTGTTTCCTGTCTTCGGCGGGCGACTTGCGGCTGGACGCGCTCTCCTTACTGCTGCACCGGTCGGCCGCGGACCCGATCGTTGGCGTCGCTCGTCTTATGGTCGCGTCCAAGCTGATGGCTGTAGCCGCGGCCGATCCGCCAACGGAGGCCGCGGAGGTGACCACGGCCACGGCAGAGGCGGCGGCCGCCACCTCGGACGCGGGCCGCAACACGCACGACTCGTACGGTTTGAAACTGGACCGGGCCGTGGTGGTGGTGACGACGGGCGCGGTTGGCTGATGGTGGCCGATGGTAGTGGTTGAGCGGCCCGGCGGGGATGCGCTGTTCGAGCACGACGACGACGAAGACAGCGACGGCGAACGCTTGTCCCGGCCGCCACCGTGGTCGGAAGACGACGACGAAGACGACAGCGACGATAGCGACGAGGACGAAGTCTTTTTGTGGTTATGGCCGCCGCCGCCGCCGCCGCCGCCGCCGCCGCCGCTTTTGTCCGCGTTCGACTTGCCGTTCGTCGGCGGCGTCGGCACGTCCGATCCGATCTGACTGCACGTCTGCGCCAACAGCGCCAGCGGGCTGTTTTTAGCGTCCAGCTGTGAACAGAAAAACAACAAATAATTAATAAACGCCATTTCGGCAATGTGTTCGAATTGGAATTCTTATCGTAATCGAAAACTGCGGTTAGGGTATACGGTCTTTTCGTCCAGTCCATCGGTGGCGGTGGTGCCACCGCGAAATTAGTTTTCTGGAGAAAAAGCACCTGAATCTATGATGACACGCGCGACACGTTACCGTACATATCGTCGTGCACGTCGCTCAACACTTTTACGATGTTTCTACGATTACATCGGGGAAATTATACAACATAAACCGTTTGAATTCGTCTGAATATCACAATTGAAACGATATAGCTTTTTTATATTTTTCGAGCACGTACTGCATTCCGAATGCTGTGCGATGTAACGTTACCACTAATTTACGGTACGTTCCTTACATTAATAAGCTCACCACCAGTGATATGCCTTTCAACAGAGTTGTAGAAACGCACTCATTCGCTTTCCCAATATTAAAACTATGATTTACTATAAACTATTTTATGCGTCAAAAACCTGTGAAATTCTAGTACGTTTATTAAAAATCGGTTATCCGCATACTTCCTCCGCCATCATGATTTATTTTAATGCACACCGTAACAATACAGTGAACCTACTGCACTCGTTTCGTTGAAAAAATAAAACAATAAAAATACATGCGAATAGATGCGAATGCTCCACGGTCTTTTGTTTTGTTCACGACGTTCAAGTGTCTGACCTCCTCTATTACGGTTTCGCATACCGTGCTCGTCGTTTATCGTCTACTTCGAATTCGATATTTATACGATAGGTTTATTCGTCAGCTGAAAATATGGGCTTCAGATAATCGTTGCACGATAAATAAATAAGACGTATCGCTTGTCAAAGTCATTCGACGACTGAGCATAGTTCAAAACGGTTTTGAATAACGACCCCAAACCTGGACACACGACTTACAGGTAAACAACTAGGCACTCCTGGTAGAACACATATATGAATCCGAAAAATCAAACGCGTATTTAGGCGTACTTGATTGAATACTTCTACAGTTTTTCTACTATGCAAATCCGATACACGCATCTTGTCGGTCCAGTTTAATTTATCGTATCGGTAATATTTATGTAAAGTCATCTAGTTCGCATGTATTCATGCGTCGCATAATCTCCGGTTGCATGTTCGCGTCGTGATATATAATAGATATAATAAATCGTATTAGCATGCGCAATAATAACCACGCGTAAGCGATCGGACGAGCCGTAACGTAAATACGCGTCAGTTCAATAATAAAATATGTGACGGTTTGTCAAAATATAACGGCACAATCGATGGACCATTGAATGGGTTTAATAATAATAATAATAACAATATGCGTAGAATATTTGTTCGTAATACACGAAGCTCCAGATAGAAACGGCATAATAATAATATTTACACAACTGTGTGGTGATCCGGGAATGAATTCGATACGCGTGAGAAACTACCGCGTAAAATAATGAAAACAATACGATATAAAATGTACACAGCATCACTATAGTCCTAGCAAGTTTTACATGATATACGTTTTACAATACGTATTGTGTACTTTGATATTTTTTGTCTAGTAAATTGATAGGTTTTGGTTTTTTCGTTTTTCTAAAATCTAGAAAATCAAATTGAATGTCTCCTTTGGGGAAGGGTAAGGGAGTCGTCGATGAACTGTGAGTGATGGAATATACGAAATGTACGTGCCCCGATGTTGACAAGAACGCAAGTCGGTATATAAGTAAATATACCTATTTATATTAATATTCATACACATGAAAAAACGTTGTATCATTGATTTTCGTACCGCCGACGCTCAGTGTTTATTAAACGTTTGTGTAAATTAAACGCTGGCCGGACGTAAAAGATGTCCGTTTTGATTTAAAGTTATTGCGGTATAATGCGAGCCGCCTCGTATAATAACATTATAATACACGTGTACACAACGTAATCGCAGTACGTATATTATAATAATGAATATACTACTAGCTACGTATACTGAAATATATTCAGTTAACATCGGGACTGACGACCTCTACATCTACAGTGTAATTGTTTTGTACATTGTCGCTGCTCGTTTCACAACCGAATGAATATAAAGCCGTAAAAACACTTTACTTCTGACAAGGGTGGATATCGAATAAAAGCAACTGATTACCTCAAAAAATTTTTCTCACTCCGTTCAATTTACCTTATAACGTTGTTTAAACATATTAAAACGTTCGATATAAGTCGCTTAACATTCATGTAGGTAAATCTATCAACTTATACGAGTATACCAAATTTTAGACCAATTTACGGTCAAAGGATTTTCATTGTTTTTTATTTTTTTTTTTAACGCTCACAAACCACTTCATAACCTGACACAATTACACGATATGCGTGCGTGTGAGTGTGCCTGTGGGTGGACAGATGATAAAACGTATATGAAACATATACAAATTAAAAGAAAAAACAGCAAAAAATATTGTGAAATGTTCTATGACGTAACAATAAATGTGATATACAAACGCGCGAAATTTCGGAATAAAATCAGTGGTACACTGAGGTGTTTCTATGCAAAACGTACCTATTCAAAAACCATTTTTTTGGGGAATAATGATTTTCTGTTGCAGCGATCTAAAAAAATTAGGAAATATTTTTTCTTATTAACTTTTAAGTTATCAATCTTGTATTCTCTTAACTTAACTCGAGTTAATTATTTTCATTAACTTGCCCCCTTCTGTCAATAGGTAGTATTAAAATAACAAAAAAATTAATAATTAATATTTTTACTTTAAATCATAATATCATGATAATAACTAAATATATAATATTTTAATGAATATTAAAATATAAAAAAAATTAAATTAAAAATTAATGAATTATTCATGGAATTATGGGATTATGAATATTCACCATAATATTTACCATAATATAGCTTTTAATACCATCACAAAGAAGCTAAGAGCATCTATCATGACCTTTGATGGAAAATTACAATCATATGAATATGGATAAGCATTATAATATCATTTTTTTTTTTTATATTGATTTTCACATCATTTATCCATGTATAATTATTATTATTTGATTTGTTTTGATCCATATCATATTTTAATACAAATTAATAAAATGATTTTAATTTAAATGATTTAACAATATTAGCATAAGCACCTTTTGTATATAATGTATTTTTATAGCCAGAGGCGGATTGTTCATTTACTCGTATATTGTACCCGAGCAGATTAATTTAAACCACCCACCTACCCCGAAAAAATTGCTCTGTTTAAACTCGATTTACATTATAACTACTTCAACGTTGTTTAAATGTTAATATTTATCATTAAATTTGTTCATAAATTTAATGGTAAACCTAATACATTTAAAAAATGTTTTTACCGTGATACCACCCTGTTTCTGAATTTGAAAAATATTTAGAAGTTAAATATGGACATCCGGAAGAGATTAAAAAATAAATATAAATATTACATAAAATATCAACGATAAGTGGGTTCGAAACTGGATTTGTTTTAAAATTGTAAAATATAGAAAACTTTACAATTTATTATTTTCATTATACTATGAATTGCTTTACTGCATTGGTAATTCAAATAGTTTTTTTTATAAATGCCATTACAATACAACTTTACACGATGGCTAAGTTAAAATTAAGAAAATAAATAATTTTTGAGAAATGTAAATAATGGGTTTTATTTTTTTTTTTTTAATTACCTATTGTACAGTATAGGCAGTCATTAAAACATTTCATTAAAAAAAAATATCACCCAAATATTTACTATAGAACAAGAATTATATTGACTTACTTTCCAATTAATTAACATACTGTATAGACAAATATACCATTTATAGTTAGCGGAAAATCGGCTGTTCGCGGGACTTAATACAACACTTTTGGAATGTGGTAAATAAAGTTAATCCTCTAACTTCATTTTTGGAAAAATTAATTCTCTTGTGCAACTATAATTTCTTCACTAAAAATTATTTTTATTTGACGAATTAATATTTTACAATTATAATATTCTACAATACATTTCAAATTATTGTGTTTTATTCATTAGACACTTGTATACTAAGATTAGATTAAAAAAAATATAGCGAGTATTATTCAGGCACAATTCATAATATACTAATACTAATATAATTACTATTACCAGCATGCTGTTATTTATCATCTTGTAATTCGCATTATTATTTAAGGTCACCAATATATTACATGTTACCACATTATTAGTATTTGAATATATTTCGTACGGTGAATACGTGTTTGAGTAAAAAAACTGTATTTATTGTCAACGAAATTTCTATTTAATAGATATTTTTTTTTCAAATAACCATCGGGTTCGATAAACAGATATTCCAACGTATTATAACGAGGAAAGGGAGAAAACGGAATTGGAATCGCGTGCTCGCGTACCGAATGATTATTTTACACGTGGACATGGGAAGCTGGACCTCGTTAACAATCGTTTTACGGTTTTTGGAGACACTGCTACTTACTAAGGGAGCTAACTGATGTTCGCTACTATGAAAGACGAAAATAGACGGACGCAATGGCAGCGGCGGGAAGAAACCGTCGGAATCGGAATTTCAACGCACACATACCCCGAATGACTTGGTCCCACAATCGTATACCGGATGCGTATAAAAGGTAACGCGATTTTATTTTCATTCTTTTAGTTATTTATAAATACATTTTTCTCTACTTTGGATTACAAAAATTTGGTGTGATGCTACTACGATGTTTTGGAATCGGAGACATTGACATTTGATGCACATACAGAGAAATTTAATACCCATAGGTTATAAATCAGCATTCCTAGTTTATTTTGAGCGAAAATTATTGTTCGAAGAGGAATATTCTTATGTTTAATAGAACAAGTTTATTCCAGTTTGTGTTGGTAATTCTTTCCAGTATACTTATAACTATGGCAAAATAACACGCAAATATTGCGAGATGAAATAACAATTAGTTTTACACCATCAACGCTGAGGAGATCCCTCGGTGCACCGTGGTGGCATGCCATGGCAGTAGGTTCATTATGTTACCTTTTTATAGAATATAATCACGATTTCCTTTAACGTTGTAATTTTATTTTGAAATTGAAATGTTTTATGTAGGGATCAAAGTTCACCCCATGGATTACTCTGGGAGGAATATTTGTAGTAGTACTCTCAAGTCTTGAACCGAACATGATTCAGGAATGCAGAGAGTGAAGTCAAAAATCTTGCTTTTCGATACCGAATAAATCCCGCCTGCGCGTTAGTCGTAAAACGCGATACACGCGGAGGAAGTTTCTTACTGCTCGTATACGAGTAAAATTGCTCGTGTCGAGTGATATTTTTACGCAATAAAAATACAAATACAAGGCAAATCTTACACAAAATTATCGGTGCCATCTGCTTTACCGCCGTTCGTAAACATAATATTTCACTGCGCTCCTACGAACGTTGCTGTCGCATACGTTCTTTAAGTTGATAAATGTAATAAATCTCTCGACGATCAAGTAACAGCAATATATGCGTTAACGAATAAATTATAATTTTACAATAGTTTATAATTCTACTGCACTAATTTTGGATTATTACAATTATGCGTTGCGTGCTCTGTATACAGTTTTCCTTGTAAAGATCCCTTAAGGTCATTACGCATTAGTCAGTAGTAACAGTACAATTATCAACACGCTATCTTGATGTATTGCACACTTGTATTGTATAATATTTATTGGATTTAAGTAATTCCGTTGATTCGTAAAATTTAAAATTGTATAAAAAAAAAAAAACTAATAAAAATAATTGTGTAATATTATATAATGTACCCTGGCGGTTTTCAGACGCGTTTAATTCTATACAGGTTATTCGCGAAAGGCGTGAAAAACGTAGAACAATAGTAACGCACCGAAACGTACACGGTCGTCCGCGATACTAGAGCGGTATAAGAGTGGTTTTCGCTACGTTGGCCATAAAAAAAAAACAAAAATCCTTCGACGTCCGGCCTCCAATTAACACGCGCGTAGCGAACGTCGTAACGGCGTCAATATGCAATGACTTCGTGCCATAATTCCACAACGAAACAGAGCAGCGCAACTCGTGAACTATACAAATATCGCGTCACATAACACGTATAGCAAAGCGCGGTCTAAGTCGCGTTCGGAACAAGTACGAAGCATATAGCGCGTGTACACAAGTAAAAACCGACTTGAACATCCGATCGTGGAGATAATTATTGTAATTACGGACTGATATCTCGACGTGGCTGCACGCCTGCACCGTTAATGGCTCTCGGTAGGTAGGACGAAATATCAACCGATCAGCTGTAATACGGGTTTCGGTTCGGTTGCGGCGGCAACGACGGGTTGTCAAGTTTCGACTGACACGTTTAAAAAGGTTTTTAATTTAGATTTTTTTCTCGTTCATATTTCGTCTCGGGTCTTATCTCGTCTAAGGTTGTATCCCGGTAGGACTCGAACGTTCCACCTTCCAGCCTGTACAATATCTTGTGCACCATCTCCGGCACGGCCCACCCGACGTTCGATATTATATTCTCCGCGGTTTTCATCCTTTCCGCCCGCCGCGAGTAGTCAACGCGCGAGATAAATTGGCCGTCAGAACGCCCGTCTGTTTGCTTTAGTCGTCGGTAGCTAATAGGTCGAGTGCGCACCTCTCTACCTCGCCACATCGCATTGCCCCGTTACGATCGATCATACCACCCCGCACGTAGTTATGTATCAGCCCCGTTGCTCTTGATCATCAGACACCCGTCCATCTGTCTGTCTGTCTGTCTGTCTGTCGACTTGTCAAAGTTGCGGTGTAGTACGTTGCTGTAGAGGCGTGTATATATGCGTTAGCGTATATGTGTGTGTAGACATCAAAAAGGATGACGAGGAGCTGCTGCAGCGTACCGTCGACGAGGGATGGAAAACCATTAACGAACCGGCGGTGGCGACGACGGCAGAGGACGGCGAAAAAAGACTTCCCTTCTGCGTGTCATTATCGAACACATTCACACAGACGCGAATACGGTGTACATACAAGTACACACACATACACACACACTCTCACCACACATACACACATGAGCGGGTGCGCGCGCGCGCTCGACATGAGACAGGCCGTATAATCGATTTGCCGCCGGCGTGGAAACACCTTCTCCCGTCGCGGTGGCGGAAAAAGGATGTAATACGCGAAGAGGATGCGTGTGTACGACACGATGAGTATCTTTATGTATACGGTACACGCGTATGATTTATATGCACAGGGTCTTCCAGGAAAAATGTGAAAGTCTATATATCTTTCAAGGAAGAAAGATAATGTGTTTAAAAAAAAAAAAATTGATGAAACAGTCACTATATTGTTTGCCATTTTTAGATCAAAATATCTTAAAATGTCTATCGACCGATATTGAGAAATTGTTAAAAAGATTGTCGGTGCTCTTTTCTAATATATTTTTACTAAAGTACAGCAGCCTGTAATCGGCAATGGTGATCCAACGGCTTCACATTTTGCACAATTCAAATTTTGGAAGCGCTGGGAAGAGACAATTACAATATCAGCTTTCGATTTTAGTAATATGTACGTTTACAAAAAGATACCACCTTACAGACATACATTTTAACTCTTAATGGCATATTATGTAGATTCTATTTTCAATTATAAAAATGAAATTACGTTTTTTTACTTCTATGAGAGTTATGTTGAACATTTTACCCTTTTTCCCAGAAGACCCATGTACAAAGGTATATGCTACGTTATAGGGAAAACGAGAATTTTTTCCTGTGTGTGTGTAAATCATTATAAAACGCACATATATATCCGAGTGTGTTGGAATCAATATTTCGCGAGAGACTTAGGATATAAATCAAGTGTTGCTGTCGGGTCGGGACACGGCTTTCCCTTCCGCACATTATCACGTCCGCGGGGGGTTAACGTCCTTTTGCATGCGTCAGAGCCCATGTTTTATAGCTTCCGTCGGCGCGATTTAAATTTCGAATTACGACTCGTCGCCGCCGCGCATAAAAATCATTTAAATAAAACATTAGGCGCATCGTGTTACATCAGTAATTTTCAAATGGCCGTTGTCGCGACAACCGTTTTTGACGAGTTTAACATAATCATCGAGAAAATGAATACAAAATTTGTATCCATTTAATGGATTTCGGATTTATTATTATCATGGTACACAATCGTACAAATCGACGCGATACGCGAGAAATATTAAGAAAATACATAAAGATATATTATTTTTACGGTTTTTAAAATCATTTTAGTGCAAACATATAAACCAAAACGTGTTTTAACGACGTGCTTACACGGTAACAATAAATTTGGTTTATTGCGGCTGAAAAAAAAAATGTAAATGCGTATGGACACATAGTGTTCTTCAAATTCGGATTACGTTACTGATTCAGTATTAAGATGTTGTTCTAATCAAGTGTGCAATTTTTTTTTTTTAATAAAAATAACACATTTTTTAAGAAATCATTAAAATTCAAACGGAACGTCAACCAACGTTTTTTTATACATTTACATGTTTTACTATTGAATGCCGACAGTTTGTTAAAACGTCCAAATGAAAAAACTCATACAATATAATATACTAAATAATATACAGATACTGACCGACGGAAGAGGAGTTAAATAATCCGGTCTCAGGTATTGGTTTTCGTTGCTCATTATCATGGTTCGCACAATACGTCATATACTCGAAATACTGTAAAATACACACCGCAAACGAGGGCGAACAGAACACGGCGGGAAGGAACAATCTTTTCACGTCTAATGTGTACCGTAGTTCAAAAATAAATTATATATCTAAACGGAAAAAAAAAAAAAAGATCAGCGAACAAATTACAATATTATGATCGGCACAAGACGCGAGACGGACACGGCGGCACTCGAATAGAACGTTTACGGGTTTATTTTTATTTAAGACACCCCGCACGATCGCGCGACGACGGCTTTTCAGGTGCGTGGACCACTAACGCGGTAACGAGTGTGGAACGACGACGGGCTCCGGTACTGCACTGCCGTTACGATCGCCGCGTCGCCGGACACGAGTACGAGTACGATCTCCGCCGCCGGACGGTGGCTCCGTCTGCCGGCGGTATGCTCGTCGCTGCGCGTGCGCGCGTGTAAACAAACGACTCGTGCGACTTCTGTGCGTGGAACGAGTGTACGATCTGGATCCTGGCGGCGCGTAGGCTATAGAGCATTGGTCTCGAACTCAAATTACCAACGGGCTGTATATGTTTACGTCAAAGGTTCAAGGCGGGCAAAACACCTTTTTTTTACTTATTTTAACGTTAAATCTAAAATAAACAAAATAAATCAAGACATAATGTATTTCTTTTACCGATTCGTGACGAAAATGGACGTTGTACTGTGTATTGATTTGTTTTTAATAATTATAATCATTTATTTTTATTTTTGAGCAGCACTTCATGCTTGACAACTCTTCTTATGCACCAGGCCTTCGATAATTTTTATAACAAAAAAAAAAAATCAATACATTTTTGAAGAAATAAGTATTCGTGGGCCGAGTGTTTGAGACCACTGCTAAAAGGAATACGGTGTGCGAGGTGTCGACGTGTCCTGACGATAATTTTTTTTAGGCCGGTCGCCTCGAACTGGGAAATATTGTCGTCACTCGTGTCGGTTCGGTTTAAAATCGTTGCGCGCACTACCATCTTTAACCATCTTCTCAGTGGATGACGAAGATAATAGTACAGAGTATTTTCATTTGATGTCAAAGAAAAAGAAAAAAAACCGACAAACGACACCTTTAATAATCGTAAAGGTGTCGGATTTTTTAAAACCTATTATCATTTATAATAATATTTTTATGTTCCGCATCTGTGGTATTATAAAATATAGTATTATTTCGCAACTCCTGAACCAATATCTCAACTTCGGATGGTGAAAATACTATTTTCGATATGACTATCGAAAAATCTACTTGCCTCTGAAAATATTTGAGTTCACCACGCACGAAACGGAACGCAGTTTCTTTTTACACAAGCATTTGCCGTTCGAAAATGTTTTCACTTTTCGTTGCGCACTTCCAACGATTGCGAAAACATTGCACGATTGCCTATATGAAAACATTGCACGCATTGAGAGTATGCAAACGAGTCTCCGAACAACAACCGAAAACGTAGTAACCGAAAGTTACGAAAGTTACGAAAGTTCGGTTACGAAAGTAACCGAAACGCCGTCAAACTATTACTGCACGCATGTACTTTCATCTACATATTCTACCATTTCGATCGGGAATCATTTTCGTGGACGAAAAATACGTTCTCTGCGGTTTGTTTGACGAACATCATTTTGATATTTATTTTTTTCCTTGGCACGCGTGAAAATCATAAATACTCTGGGCTTCGCGCCCAACTATTTCGCCGTTAATTCTGCTTCGTGTGACAACTACAACAACGTGTTAAAATCATTATTTCATTACGTTTATATTTATACACGTATTTGTGTGTTTCCGCTACAATGTTCCGAGTGTGCCGTCCGCGTATAATGTACGAAATCGTCTGAATCGGGTTCGGTTCGTTTGCTCCACAAACACGCGTTATTTTTTCGTCTTGGTAAATTGAAACTCGGATTCCGTTCGTTAAACCAACATTACGGTACCATACACCCGCGCGCTCGGTCGAGACGTTATCGCAGCGTTTGATGACGACAATAATAAAAAAAAAAAACACGTCGCGTTTGAACTGTCTGCACTATTATTACATCGAACACCGTACGGTCGCGCGGGGGTAAAAACAGATAATCACTCCGCGGATCGATGCAGCTGCTCGTGTCGCGACTTCTTAACGAGCTTAAACTAAATTAACGATTCGTTGGTACGGACGAAATTAAATTACTTTTTAAAACCTCGAAAACACACCACGTACATTTGTACTATTGTACGTTTTGCGCAAATTAAAGTCCCTTAAACGTTCACACGAATCAATAACCGATAAAATCCCAGTCGAACCGACCGAATGCGTGGTATCCAATTCATCACCGACCACGTCCAGTCGATTTTCAAACTTTTTGACGGACACTTTAAACTGATAACTTGACCGTAAAATAAATCGATCGTAGCGCAAAGTTTTTTTTTTTTTTAATTATCGACGTATCACCGACGCATTGAGCGAAAACCTTCGGACCGTATGTAACGCGGCCGTAGCAGAGCTGAGTCGTTTAAGAACGTTTCGATAAAGGTCTTTGAACGTCCGGTCGGTAGGTGTTAATTTTCGCGTTATTAGACCCGTCTACACTGAGTAACGGTCGTACGAAAAGGTTCGTCGCGTATAACATGCGCGTGTACGGGATGGACACCATTATCGCACGTGTTAATATCGCGGAAGGATAATCGTGCGGTAAGGGCAGTTGTGACCCCGGGGTCCCACGCCCTCAGCCGCCACGTGAATCCGCAATAATGTCCTTCTCTTTCCAGGCCTGACGATAAGGATGAGAGGGAAAGGAATGGCCCCCCCCCGGGCCCGGAATTTTCGAAAGGGACCGGAAATTAGGGACTACAAATTATTAAAAATTAAACACAATCAATGATAAATATTTAATAAACACTGCAGAAAAAATTAAGATGTACCTTAAGACATACCCCCGGACCCGGGTTTCTCTCTCCGCGGCCCTACCTCCTACTCCCCCTATTGCTACGCACCAACGGTATGATTAATTTTATTAATTCAGACGTATACGCGCAACAATCGCATTTCTCGTGAACATCGTTGTGTAAATACACGAGGCCGGCAGCCGACCGAACGTGTGTCGTGTTAAAACGGTGCGCGTAACGATGTCGTCACAACGCGAGTATTTGGAATTCGAAAACGATAAGCCAGAGTTGAGAAAGACGGTCATCCGCCGGACAACGATTACTGTTTCGTTCCGTATCTTCTTCACCGGATTGATGACACTCATCTACGAAATGTTGCCACCGGCACTGGTTGCCGTTCGGCCATACACGATTGTAACCATTCTCGTTTATTCGTTACTGGTGAATCAGGAAATTGATCCTATGGAAATCCAAGACTCGCCACTTACGCTCATACACGTCTACGACCGGTGGCGCGGGGAAAATGTACTATTTTTGGGACAATTGCCACTCCAACGATTATCAGTGGCACCGGTGGACTGTACTGCTACGCAGGGTTTAAAAGTAATATATTGAATATTGTAACTCGCGAGACCACAACATCGAAATGTGATGGATTGAACGCATACGAATCACGGATATCTTGTACGGATATCGGTATACTTTGTGAATGTTGAGTTTTATGTTTTAGTAGACTATAATATAGTATATATAATAACGCCGCTAGTGCCTTGTATACGTTTGTGCTCCCTACTAAAAGTAAATTAACACGCCAATATCCGTTTCACGGACCTCCATATTTCCAAGGACACCGAGACATAACATTAAACTTTAAATTTAGAAATGGTCTTTAATATCATACAAATCCTCGTGCTCGAAATCGGCTATTCGTTTCCATGCCTGGAAATTCTCCCGGGAGTCTCTAGCGGTAATGGCGCCGACACTTTGTGAATTAAATAAAACACAAATCCTAAATAATCTATTACTCATCCCCAATGTACAGTCACTGAATGGCTCTTCCCTCGCGTTAACAAGCCATTGTACGTACGTTTAAAAGTATCCCTTACGCTTAATGTACTACGGATTGTATTGTTATCGTCTCGTTTTGCTCGGGAAAACGAAATTACACGTATACCGACGTGCCCCAGTGCATTCATAACAATTGTATATCGTTTTCGACCTGTAGACGCTACTCGTTGGACGCGGAAAAAGAAATAACCGTTAAGTTTATCGAAAAAACGTTTTCAAAAGCTGTGGAAAAGTGCGATATACACGTAGGTACTTCTATATACGTCAGGGCCATTAACTCGCACCGTGTACAGTGCAGACGGTGGTATTCGTGATACGAACGGCGTTGTTATAGTGAACTGTGTACAAGTGTACAAACGCACGGATCCCGCTCGTATAAATCGTTCTCCAATATTTAAACCGACTGATGATAATGAGAAGTAAAAAAGTTTACACCCATCGAACGCACGTAAATATATCTCATCGGTCGTATATATGCGCGCGCGCGTTTGTGCGTTAATATTGTTACACACAACGGCGTACGATAAATAACTCGAAACGAGATTTCACACGCGTACGGTATCCAGGAGTGAAGAAATTTTAACGACTCAATATATAAACGAATCGGTCGGCCGCGAGTACATACGTGATATTATAACGATATACGTGCATGGCGTGTATAATAAAAAAAATAAAATTGCGGTTGTTAAAGATACTCGGACGACACAACCGCTGCCCTCGTGATGCACTCGGCGAACTCGACGCACGTAGGTTATACGTGTATACGTTGCGCGTACGAGTAGTAAAAGTATTTTTATTTCCCATCGGGGATGTGTGTTATTTGTATTATTATGGGCTTTCATTAGCGACTAAACGAGACGAATAAAATTGCTATGCGGGTTTAACATGTGATCGCGCGGACAGACGTGTGGTGCAGTGTACACGTTAATATATTTACCTGCTCGTTTTATTTTTTTATTTCTGTTACACACACGTATAAAAAATAACCTCATCGGTTTTTAAATTGAGCGGTCGCCTGCATGCGCCGGCTCCGTCGAAACATCACCTTTCGCGTTTGCGTATACGGTTCAGCTGCGCGCGTAGGTAATAAAAAATAATAAAAAAAAAAAAAAAAGGCCCCACACACTATTAAAATCGAAATTACAATTTATACACAATTAATTCTCACGATTATTATCGCCGTCGTCGACGTCGTTCCGGCGTGTATGCCCTGATACGGGGGGAAAAATACGGCCATTATGTAAATCGCGTTAATCGCACGACTACTCTCTGTCCGTGTTCCAATCAAGATGCATAAATTTCACTGTTTCACGTTTTTTTTTTTTTTTTTTATTTATTTATTTATTCCTCTTCTTCTTATTATTATTATATTCTATTTCACAAAATGTTTACAAGCCGCCCAATGTC